ATACACACTGTCAACCGTCAATACTCTGGCACCCCCCTCCTTACACTCTGGCACACTCCTGCTCTTTTACACTTACCCTTCCACAGTTACCCCTTTACTCGACCTGTCACCCCCTGAAGGCAATCATTATACACACCGTCATAAAACATAGCTTCACCATAAACTCATTGCCAAAGGCCACAGGCAGTACACAAACATACACATGCTCAGAGAAACATACATACAGATACAATGATACTCACTGTCAGACACACACTCTCAGGCACACACACAGGTAGACAATGCAACAATGTATACAAAAACTAGCTCTCTATATCCAGTACTGCAAGCTCCCCATTCAATATATCTACAGCTTCTTATACACACACAAGTCAACAGCTATTTTTTTCAATAATGGTGTTAGTGGGGGCCTCATGTATGAGCCGCCACTTCACACATACATTTAACCATATATCATTATATTGCAGGTTACTCTGTCACCCCACCTGTCACCCCCTCTTACTCTGTCATCCCACCTCTCACCTTGTCACCCCACCTCTTACTCTGTCACCCCCACCCTGTCACCCACCCTGTGACCTCCCCACACTATGTCACCCCCCTTACTCTGTCACCTCACCCTGTCACTCCCCACACACTATGTCACCCCCTCTCACCCTGTCACCCCTAACAAACACTATGTCACCCCCTCTCACCTTGTCACCCCTCTCACCCTGTCACCCACTCTCACGCTTTCACCCCCAACACTACGTCTCCCCCTCTCACTCTGTCACCCTCCTCTCTCTCACTCTGTCATCCCCCTTCACACTCTGTGACCCCCTCACACTAGGTCACCTGCCCTCTTACTCTGTCACCCCCTCTTACTCTGTCATCCACCTTCACTATCTCACCCTCCCTCTCACTCTGTCACCCCCCTCTCACTCTGTCACCTCCCTCTGTCTCCTCCCTCTTACTCTGTCACACCCCTTACACTAATGTAACCCTCTCACACTAATGTCACCCCCCTCTCACACTAATGTCACCCCCTCTTACTCTGTCATCCCCCTCTTACTCTGTCACCCCCTCTTACTGTGTCACCTCCCTACACTATGTTAGACCCTCACACTATATCATTTTACCCACACACTCTGTCACCTCTCTCCGCACACACTGTCACTCCTCTATATACATTGTCACCCCCCTCCATACACACTGTCTCTCCCTCCAAACACACAGGCATCCCTCTCGCACACATGGGCACCACTCTCTGCACTCTGGCACCTCCCTTCATACACACTGTCAACCCTCAACACTCTGGCACCCCCCTCCACACACTCTGGCACACTCCTGCTCTTTTACACTCACCCTTGCACAGTTACCCCTTTACTCGACCTGTCACCCCCTGAAGGCAATCATTATACACACCGTCATAAAACATAGCTTCACCATAAACTCAGTGCCAAAGGCCACAGGCAGTACACAAACATACACATGCTCAGAGAAACATACATACAGATACAAGGATACTCACTGTCAGACACACACTCTCAGGCACACACACAGGTAGACAATGCAACGACGTATACAAAGACTAGTTCTCTATATCCAGTACTGCAAGCTCCCCCTTCAATATATCTACAGCTTCTTATACACACACAAGTCAACAGCTATTTTTTTAAATAATGGTGTTAGTGGGGGCCTCATGTATGAGCCGCCACTTCACACATACATTTAACCATATATCATTATATTCAGTGATATACAGAAATTATGACTTGTGATTAACATAAGTACAAAAAACATTATTAAACATTCTGTATGGTCTAGTATGATAAGAGGTCCATAGGGCTACACCAACCAAAGCGCTACGTAATCTGTTGGCACTATATAAATGGTGATAATAATTATAATAATAACCCTAGTGACGCCACTGCCAAGGCATTCAGGTTTACTCCAGAGTTGAGCAATTCTCCTCTCTTGAAATCTATTGCAGACTCCACTCCCATTTTGCACTCCACCTAGAATACAAGAGGACCATATACACCATTCTTATACCAAATATAAATGCCCAATCTTCCTTTTTAACATAGTTCCATTATAGCTTTGTCATCTGTCTCTGAGCAACCACATCAATGGACCGAAATCACCCACCCACTCATTGGATCAAATCACCACCTCGATGATCAAATTCCCAATCACAGTATCTCACATTTTTGTACATGGTCAAACGGGAGAGAGATCTCCAAATACAACCCCTTTGACACACAAACCTAAATGAGAAACTCCTACCAAGAATCTGCTTTTAAATTGCATTTTGTTTTTTAAATTCTTTATTTTTCATTTTGTAAGTCAAATAAACATTACAGAAAGAAGGGGTTAGTGTGCTTTTTGTATGGCAAATAATCATTACAGAAAGAAGAGAGGGTTACTGCACATTTCATGTGACATAATCATTACAGAGCAAAGAGGGGGTTAATGCACATCAGTTGTGACAGGGATTCACAAATCCCTACATTATGTTGATATGTTTGTTTATGAACAGGGTGGCAATATTAAAATAGTGATGGGGGACACAATCTCAGTTGGCACTGTAGTGTTAAGGTGCAGTTTGTGATGGTAGTTTTTTTTTTTTTTTTTTAGTTTTACTAGATTGTCTCCTTTCCTCCCCTTGGAGTATTCCATGAGTGCTATGTATGGTTGTCAGCTCTTGTGCTGTTAGTATGGGTACCCTGATTGTTTGGAGGGGTCTGTCTAATGCTCTGTCCTCTATTCCCCCACGCGTGAAAAGTCATTTCTTATAGGGTTTTCTTCCGTTTCAGCAGTCGGGTCATGCTTTGTTCGGATATGGACTCTTGGGTTTGGAGGTCTTTGTTGACCAGAGAGTCTAGTAGTTTAGTGGTCTTGTCGCTTTGTCAATGTACCATTTTAAATTGCATTTTAACAGTTCGTCAGACAGGATTTGTTAAAAAGGTTGAGGAGTTGAGACACAAAAACTTAACTTATGGTGGTCGTGGCCTCATCACTGGAGAAGAGTACATACAACTATTTTTCCACTTCCCTACACACCGGAGGTTCTCCTTCTTAATCAGGCCTCCTGCCCCCTAACCAAATATAACAGTAGGTTTATTCACTCTGCAATACCCTCCAAGCCTCCAAACCCACTCTGAGGCTCCACTAACATCTCCCACTGCCAACCCTGCCCCTTCTGGATCTCAGCCAGCCCAACTGCCGACACACACAATGTATGTCATACTATACAGAATTATCTTCATTGCAGAACTTTATATGTATTTTTCATGTTTTCTTCATGAGAATTAAGACTGTTTGTCACATATGACACAATGATACCACACATTACTGACTCCACCTTTGCAATAGAGCCCCTCTCTTTTCTCCCCTCATTTCTACCCCTTGTTGCACTTTTTTGTTTTCTTTCTCCATGTAATATTCATGTAATGTTCAATATATTCTGCGAAAATGTTCATGTACAGTATTGTCGGATACCCGAATCCCTTACTCTTACTCACCATTGTGTATAAGTTTTTTTTTTTATTTTGTATTCCTTTTGTGGCTACCTAACATCTCAGCCAACCTCCACCACTGCACTGGGGCTGTTCTCCTATTTGTCCTTAGGAACTGAGCTAAAATATGAAATGGCAGCTGATTTTTTTTCTTCTTATGTTTGAAAGCTGCTGAGCACCCGCTTGTCATCTTTCACTATGTAGTCATGGACACAATTACTTGTTAAGTCTACAGTCATATTCCCATTTTGACTATAACTCCACCGAGCTTTACACCTGTCGTATACCTCACAATATCTGGTTGATTTTCCAGTTTGCCTCTTCTTTTTGCTTTTGTACTGGCTTTAAACCTGTAGACTGACCCAAAAGTTAGTCACAATGCTCTTGATGTTAATCTTGGTGCTTATTTGTGTTACTCTACTTTAATCCGCACTTTCCACTGATGCTCATAATATTAACTATTGCATTAATAAATATATTAACAATATACCATATTTATTGTGGAGTTCACATTAGATGCTCACCACACGGTTTGTTGCTACATTACTGAAAAAAATACCAGTACCACATATCACACACCCTTCAACCCAGCAAAATACCAATATAATACCCACACTATTCTATGAGTCTATTTGAAACAATTGCAGTACACCAGATAGTGAAGAGGACAGTATTGCCTTCCTGGTTTTGCTAGCACCTAGATCCTTTTTATTATAATTTTTATGAGCATTTATCCAGCATTAACATATTGTGTAGCGCTTTACAATTATAGAAAGGGGATATTTAGAGATGAAGAAGGCCTTGCTCAAAGATGCTTCCAAAATATGAAGATTTGAGAAGAGCTGAACAACATTGTTAAGTGTCTTGCTCATGGACAGTTGCTGGTGAGGTGGTCCGACCTGGATTTAAACCTAGGTTAGTTCCCAAACAATATAATTGCTACGATAGCAAACCAAACCACCCTAACTTAAATATTTCACAGCTGAATACCAACTATTTGACTTTCAGCCTTCATCAACTCCTTGGACTATCTACATTGAGTAAACTAATTATTTAATTTCCATTTGAGTATATCTTTTTTGGCAACCCATAATACATTAATAGAACCTAACCAAGATAAATTAAACAGTGAAGAAGGTCATTACTTTTAGATTAAAATACAGAATTAAATAGTTTGGCCAGTCAACCCATTGCAATGGAAACCTATGTTTATCTTTCAACTGGGAACAGTTTGTGATCACCTCAATGAGCTCCATATCTAAGGTCAGCCATAGAAAAGGAACAGAACACTTTCCAAAATCAAGATATGTAACAATATGAAAAGAGATATTATTATTCTATTGGTTACTTTCTAATCATTGAATTGTTAAGTAAACTAAAATAATAGATATTTATGAACATATTTATCTCTTGTTCCATTTACTTTATCAACAAGTTAAGAAAAAATAGGAGGAGCATTCAGCATAAAAAGCAAGCGTGGCCAGTCTGGATCAGTGCAGAGGCAAGATGGCAAGACTTATTCTTCTCACTGGTAAGTTCCTGCTGACTGATTGAGATCATTTCTTAAACCATATTTAAACAGCTGCAATGCTGAGATTTTGATTAAACCAGAAATCATGCTAAATTATTTTTTATAATCTAACAATAATAATAATGTTAAATCTTTTTGGCTGCAAGCTACTTTTCCCCCTGAATTTTAGATGCGTTGTACTGTCCTACATCAACAAATTGTGAAAGTATAATTACAAACTCAACCAATAGAAACTAATATAAAATCAAGAATATGGGAACATCAATGCATTCATGGTTTATCAGAGCAAATATGGACACTTATGCAAAACCACTGCCAATAGCGTGCATGCATGATGATCACATGACAGTTTCAACTATAAATATATGTATAACTTCCACATGGCTAAATATATTTTGCATTGTAAAGTAGGAGACTATATTTAAAATAAGAAAAACTACCACAACAAGAGGTCTTAAAGTAGAGGGGCAAAGGTTTAAAAATATCAGGAAGTATTACTTTACTGAAAGGATAGTGAATGCATGAAATAACCTTCCAGCTGAAGTGGTAGAGGTTAACACATTAAAGGAGTTAAAGCATGCATGGGATAGGCATAAGGCTATCCTAACTATACGATAAGGCCAGGGAATAAAAAGAGTATTTAGAAAATTGGGCAGGTTAGATGAGCTTAGTGGGTCTTATCTGTCATCACATTCCATGTTTCTATTACTCATGAATATTTTGTAGTTAAAATAAAAAATATGCATGTATTAGTATTTCAAAATTATATTCTAAGTTCATAGAATCTGCAGCTAAACTTCACTGTGTTTTTGCCCAACGCTAACTCTTCATGGTGGGTAGTCCAGTCAAATGTTTCGCTTGGAAAAGCATTGTGGACTAAATGGGTGCCTGAAAATGTATATTAGTAAGATTTATGTATAGTATTGTTAAAAAAAAAATACTTGATCTTTTTACAAAGTATAAAGTAGGATATTCACATTGTGCTGTTATAGGTCTTAATGTGAAGATTTTGAAAGAATTATTGTTCCTTCCTGTGCAGATTTAACTTTTACTTTCTTTATCTAATATCACACAGGGGCTGCAGGGGCATAAATACCTCTAAAGTAAACATATATCATTAAACTGGGTTCTAAAGTGAACACAGGAAGTGTGTAGGAAGGCTATGTAAGTCTCATCCAGGGGAGGTGTGCCTAGTGTTGCATAAACAAAATAATTGAACTCATGAACGGCAGATAATTGAACAGTGAGATTGCAGGGGTGTGATCTATACACCAAAACTAAAGCTAAAGTTATTCTGGTGCTATGATGGATCCTTTAATCACTTTTTTTTATTGAGAAATCATTGGAAAACTATATTGTAATTATAATAGGATGAACACTACATAAGGTTCATGGGTCCAAGGTTACTAACAATAATTACCAACAATAACCTAATATCATAAGAGAGAAATTCACCAATGTTTTATGTATTCCTTAGGGTTGGCTCTTCTGCTGAATGCTCAGCTAGGTAAGTAAACTTAAAATATTCACATATGAACAGCTTATTTTTTTTTTTTTTACGCTATAAGTATAATTAGATACGCTTTATACAGATTGCAACTTAAAAGAACAAACAAAATAAGAAATTCATATAAGATAACTTTCAAATTTAAAACACGTTTTAAACAAGGTCTAAGAGTACTTTAAGAGTCAATCACAGGATTTCCAACTAACTGACCTTGAATTTCTTTCCAATGGCCCGTTACATAATTGACTTTGACTCTAGCCCCCAATCTGTGCTTCTGAAGCATGTAGAACATTTCCTACTGGATATAATCATGTGTAGACTACATTTGAGAAGAAAAAAGAAAGAAGAAACTACATCTGTCAAGCAGACAGAATTGGGTACTGAAGCTACACCCACTCCAGGCATGAACATAAACCCTTACAAATTTTACCCCAGAAACTGATATAATTTTTCTTTTTTTAAATCATGAATAAAATCTTCCACATAACCAAAAGCTGGGATAATGGAGATTATCTTGAGAGGTGGATACAGCCCAGTACACACCAAAAATCCAGATATATAGGTGTTCTTACCTGCCTGACGGAGATAGTACTTCTCAATAGTTTGTCAATACTCTAGGAGTAAATGTTTGAATTTTACAGTCCAGGATACAGTAAAAAAACAATATATAAATATGGTCTCCATGTGAATTAGACTTAACTCATTAAGATAATGAAAAAACCTGATCTTTCAGTTTCTACACTAAACCTGATTTTCAATTTACACGTTGTGTCTTTAAAGTTTGTCTTCTTTTATTTTCCTACACATATTAATTCAATAGTTTAAGTTCAGATCCCATGTTGACTCATCCTTTCAACCACCAAAGTCAATAAATCAGTGGAGATGAAAAATAAAAATATTAGTGTCCTAGGACGTGCTTGTAAATGTGTCCTTATGGGAAAATACCAAGACAATTCCTATTCTGATTGAAATTAGTAATTAATTATTAGTAATAAGCATACACACACATACAATCACAGAAATTAAATTCCCCTGATAAGCAAAATTACAAGTTCACTTTATATGTGTCCATTGGAATAGATCATGAAGATTTCAGTTTCAATTGAACCATGTGAATTGTGATTAATTCAAATTAGATTTCACAATTTAAGTCAGAATTGCCAAACTGAAAAACAAATGTCTCATCAATTTGGCTATTTTGGAAAAACGTTTTCGATATACTTTAAATTCACTTTAAATTGCAAATATTTCACACTTTATTGAATAACACTGTCAATGTATTCAACAGCAGAACATGATGCATTCATGTTGACATCAAGTACTAATTTTTAAGAAAGTCAAAAAGACATACCAACTTGGCTGATTTTATTGAAAAGTGTTATAAGATGCATATTCAGTCATAGTACAGTCTACACTACTATTTTATTCCAAACAGGCTCTGCCTACCAGCTGACATGCTACTTCACCAACTGGGCCCAATACAGACCTGGCCTTGGGAAGTTCAAGCCAGATAACATTGACCCATGCCTTTGTACTCACCTAATCTATGCTTTTGCCGGAATGTCCAACAACCAGATCACCACAATTGAATGGAATGACGTTACCCTTTACAGCTCTTTCCAAAACCTGAAGAATCAGTAAGTTGCCTTTTCACATCTTCTTGCTAATGCCCATTTTAATGTGAAGAACTTGACATAGCATCTCACAATCTCTATCCGCTTGTTTGTAAGTTGAAGAATGTGAACTCAAAGTACTATGATAGTCACTATATCTTAAATATCTTTCACTTCCACCTATAAATAAGTGATAAGGATTATCTTCTCATTTTAGGAACGGTAATTTGAAAACTTTGCTGGCCATAGGAGGGTGGAACTTTGGAACTGCACCGTAAGTGATGTACTTCTTCTAGAACAAAGAATTTAGAAATATAATTAGGATTAAAATATAAACTTCTGGATCCATTATTTTACAGATTCACTGCCATGGTTTCCACTGCTCAGAACCGTCAGACATTCATCACCTCTGTGATCAAATTCCTGCGTGAATATGGATTTGATGGACTGGACTTTGATTGGGAATATCCCGGCTCCAGAGGAAGCCCTGCTCAGGACAAAGGACTCTTCACAACTCTGGTTCAGGTAAGCAAGGTTTATTCTAGAGGTATGTTAGGGAAGTCTGAACCATTGCATTTCAGACTTTTTCTACACGTATTGCTAGTTCCACCAATATCTTACAATATGCAAGGTTGATCTCAAAATTTAATATTCAAGGTTGAAAGGTTCGTGTGGGAACTGAAATTATATTGTGTTTATTGTTCCTATACAGGAAATGAGAGCAGCTTTTGAGACTGAAGCTTCACAAACGAACAGACCAAGACTCATGGTGACCGCTGCTGTTGCTGCTGGCATCTCCAACATTCAAGCTGGTTATGAAATCCCTCAGCTTTCTCAGTAAGTTTAGTTAAATAAACATTATTGCCTTAGTGTTAATAAATTATTTTGCAGAACATTTTTAAAACTCCTGGAGTATAGAGCAAGGGTACTTTGCCTAAATATAAATTATATGCATTTATTTGTATTGTATATGTATTTTCCTATAAAATGCAGTAAGTAATAGAGTTATTAAAATGCAACAGGGCTTTGGATTACATCCACGTTATGACCTACGACTTGCATGGTTCATGGGAAGGATACACTGGAGAAAACAGCCCACTGTACACTAACCCTTCTGCCACTGGCTGGAACGCTTACTTGAATGTTGTAAGTATTTATTAGGTTAGAATATTTATTTTGATATATAACACTATATGGGTTATATGGTTATCTAATTCAAGCAAAATTACAGCTTTTTAAAATTAAAAGAGAAAAGTGACATGCTTGTCTATCTATCTATCTAATTATCTAGCTGGGTGCTGGAAGGTCATTACACTGACCCAACAACAGGAAACGGGCTAACCATAATGAATAAATAGATATGTAACCCAACAAAGTCAATTATGAGTATTTGTAGATTATGGTTTGCATCCAAAGCTTAAAAAAATGCATCCAGTCTATGTTGCCTGTAGAAGTATACTGTTATTATTATTCTATCCAATACTTGCTAGAAATTAAATCAGTCATAGTGGATATGGAGTCTACTGTTCTCTTTGTAATTACAAATACTCTTACTGTAGGATTACGTCATGAACTACTGGCTGAAAAATGGTGCACCTGCTTCTAAACTTATTGTTGGTTTCCCAACCTATGGACACACTTTCATTCTGAGTAACCCATCCAATACTGCTATTGGAGCCCCCACTTCAGGTGCTGGCCCAGCTGGTCCTTACACTAGGCAATCTGGATTTTGGGCTTACTATGAGGTATGTTTAAGATCAAGCTTTATAATGTTTTAGAACACATTATTTAAATAAAATTTTACCTTAAACAAAGCAGCCTCGCTCCTATCATGACTTATTTATCTATCCTTTTTTATACATAGATCTGCACTTTTCTGAAGAATGGAGCTACTAATGAATGGTCCTCTGCTGAAGATGTGCCCTATGCCTACCAAGGAAATGAATGGTTGGGATACGACAATGAGAAGAGCTTCACACTAAAGGTAATTTCAAGACTTTATAATTTAAGCTAAAGTAACTCTCTTTTCTGGATTCATACTATTGTCTATTTGTTTACATTGTTTTACAGGCACAATGGCTGATGCAGAACAACTTGGGTGGTGCTATGGTTTGGGCTATTGATCTGGATGATTTCACAGGTACATTCTGTAACCAGGGCAAGTTTCCTCTGATCAACACACTGAAGAGCACTCTTGGTGTCCAGGCCTCTGGTAAGCTAACGTTTTCATATTTATGTTAATCAGCTTGTATAAAATATCCTTAAAGCTTTCATTATCACTTAATTTAAATGCAATCTTTAATATAACACCATCAATCATTCCTAAAATGGACAGCATTAAAGGGAATTAGCTGTTGCAAACTGTCTTTTTAAATATTCAATAGCCCTAAAATGACTGTAACGGAACATGGATTGAAGTATATATTGTCACATTTCTCAACCAAAGGTTGCCTCCAATGGGAAAACTGTTGGTGGGACCCCAATTGACCAGTTAACTAGTTATAGTTTGTCAAGTATATGAAGGAATGTTATATACAAAGAAACAGAATTTCTGTCAGTAGATTGTAGAACTTATACCGTCAAGGTACTATAATTTGCAATTTTTCACTTTTTTAAAAACCTGGATACTGTTGTATCATGTTCTCTGACCTCTTTATGTTGTCCCTCATTTCTGTAGAAGAGTGACAGTGACAGTATTTTTATATTATGTTTATCAGAGTCAACCAACACACTTTTATTCTTGAGTGTGGCATCCACTAAATCTTTTATTAGTAGTGCGTGACTACATCCATTTTTGTTCCTTGCTGTTTTAGGATACAGACACTTGTGTTCTATTGGAATACTTCCTGGCATTGTTGGGTTCTTTAACCCCTTAAGGACCAAACTTTTGGAATAAAAGGGAATCATGACATGTCACACATGTCATGTGTCCTTAAGGGGTTAAAGGTCTGATGACCATATTTTTCTTCTAGTGCAGACTACTGACCATTGCTGGGCCACAAATGACTGGGTTTATCATTTGTAAAACCCATGCAGTTCCAGGGCTCTGGGATACTTCTTTTATTAGAGTTTTTCATACTATTTTACATCCTTTCTTGAGCAGGCCATTTACCAGTTGCATCCGACTCTCTCTTTCATGCTGGAAAGGTTTTGTATTAACCCACTTTTTAACTTGAATATAACACAGATTATATAGCCATAACCACATCTTGCAGATCTAATCAGAGACAAGGGTATAGATTTGAGTACATGTTGTATTTATGTTGCATTTTGAGCAAAATGTCAATTTTACACAGTTAACTGCTTGGAAAAAAATTAAAATGGAACATACTTATAATCTAAAGTTCACAAAATTGATCTTTATTAACAGATAGCAGAGTAAAGATATATTTAATCTGAGTTATGTTCCCTTTTTGCAGGTTGTACTCCCCCAGCTTCTCCAGTTGCTCCAATTACAGCAGCTCCAGCCACCGCCGCACCCGCTGCCCCAACCGCTGCTCCATCTGGTGGCAGTGGATTCTGTGCTGGCAAAGCAAGTGGACTGTATCCCGTTGCAGGAAACAAAAATGCTTTCTGGCATTGCTTGAATGGAGTCACCTACCAGCAACACTGTCAAACTGGTCTTGTCTTTGACACAAGCTGTGAATGTTGTAACTGGGCATGATCTGGACCTTCTGAAAGGCTTCAAAACTTGTGAACCCATAACACTGTAATGATCTATCTTAAACAGTGCCACAATAAAATAAAATCAGCATGAATAGAAAATTGGTGTTTTGTTTTCTTTACAATTCAGTGGATATACATATGAATTCCAACCAAAATAATCAGGGCAGATTGTGTGTGCAATTAGTGAATGTTGCAGTTTTATTAATTCTTCTTAAAAATTAAACCTGACTAAAAGAACATTTTATGCAATAGTTCAAAACATGTTAACATCGTCACTACTGAGCATTTTTTGACTGGAAAAATATATAACATGTATTTGAAACAAAGGCTGCATATCCAGAACATAAACATATATTACAACTGCACATTTGAGTATATATAGTTACATAGTTGTTCAGCCTTTCTCACATATTTTTTTGCTGTTGATCCAAAAGAAGGCAAAAAACCTAGTCTGAAGTGCTTCCAATTTTGCCACAAACTAGGAAAAAATTCCTTCTTGACCCCAAAATAGCAGTCAGATGTCTCTTTGGATCAAGCAGCTATTACCCCACTAATTAGAAATTATATCCCTGTATGCTATGTTTTTGTAAGTATTTATCCAATTGCAGTTTAAACCTCAGTAGTGACTCTGACAAAACCACCTTTTCAGGCAGAGAATTCCATATCCTTATTGCTCTTACTGTAAAAAAAAACTTTTCTTTGCCTTAGATGAAATCTCTTTTCTTCCAGCCTAAATGTGTGACCTCGTGTCCTATGTATAGCCTTGTTTATAAATAGATTTCCAGATAAAGGTTTGTACTGGCCCCGAATATATTTGTATAAAGTTATCATATCCCCTCTCAGGTGCCGTTCTTCCAAACTAAACAGAATTGATTTTTTTAACCTTTCTTTATAACTAAAATGCTGCATTCCTTTTATCAATTTTGTAGCTCGTCTCTGGACTTTTTCTAGTGCCATGATATCTTTCTTTAGAACAGGCGCCCAAAATTGCACAGCATATTCAAGGTGTGGTCTTACCAGCGATTTATAAAGAGGCAAAATTATATTTTCATCCTGAGAATTTATGCCCCTATTTATACATGACAAAACCTTACTTTCCTTAGCAACTGCAGATTGACATTGCATATTGCTGTTTAATTTGTGGTCTATAACAATTCCCAAATCCTTCTTGTGTGTGGTTATCTCTAGTTCACTACCATTTAGGGTGTAAATTGCTTGGGCATTCTTAACCCCGAAGTGCATAACTTTGCATTTCTCTACGTTATATTTAATTTGCCATTTTAGTGTCCAGACCCCCAATCTATCCAAATCCATCTGCAGCAAAGCAATATCCTGCTCACATTTTATTACTTTACAAAGTTTTGTGTCATCTGCAAACACTGATACATGGCTTTCAATGCCTATTTCAAGATCATTTATAAATATGTTAAATAAAAGTGGTCCCAAAACAGAACCCTGAGGGACACCACTTACCACTTTTGTCCATCCTGAAAATGTACCGTTAATTACAACTCGTTGTACTCTATCCTTAAGCCAATGTTCTACCCAAGAACAAGAATATTCATCTAGACCAATTTCTTTTAGTTTGAAGACTAACCTATTGTGAGGAACCGTATCAAATGCCTTGGCAAAATCCAAGTAGATCACATCCACTGCAACACCCTGATCTATACTTCTACTTACTTCTTCGTAGAATGCAATTAGGTTAGTTTGACAACCTATGTAAAGTGTGTTTGTGTGTATCTCTGTGTTAATGTGTATGTACACTGAACAAAATTATCAACGCACCACTTTAGTTTTTGCCCCCATTTGTCATGAGCTAAAACTGCACATTTTAGAGTGGCCTTTTGTTTTAGCTTGCCCAAGGCACACCTGTGAAATTAAAAAAATAAAATGTAATAAAAAGCGCTAAAAAGGCATTCAGGGTGAATATAATAAAAAATGGGAAAAATTATATATATATATATATACACACCACCTTCATATATATTTTTACAACATTATGTTGTAAAGAAATTAATATGCCGCTGCACACTTAAGTGTTGTGATTCCAGATACAAACACACTTGTGGAAAAGTATCAAAAGTGTAAAATAAGTGGAGCACAAAATAGCAGAGAAACCTGCCTATAGACCTTATGTGGAAAAGAAAAATTATTTAAAAAATATATACCCATACGTTGTAGTAGATACTCAATAGCGTGCAAAGAGAAAATACAATAATAATCGTGCAGTATATCAAAATATGGATAAAAGTAAACAATTTTAATAACAATGCGATAAAATGAATAAACAATGGTTAGATAATGCTTACAGTGTGTAAATTGGTGAGATTAATGCGAGCTCCGCTACTCACAAACGCTGTATGTCAAATGTCCAGACGATTGCATCAGTCTGCAGGAATAGTCTCAGAAATCCTACCGGACTGTGCAATAGTATGAGTACGAAGGTAATTCTGGCTGTGTCCTTGTCCCTCAGCTGTGCTCCCGATGAGTCAATAAGCCGGGGGAAAATTTTGTCCAGTCGTGGGGTTTGTAGGTGCCGCCCACCTTAGTGACGCCAGTGCGTGCTTACGTGGACGCGTTTCGCCTTCCGGCTTCTTCAGTACATAAGTGATTTCTCTAAAAAATATTGTACTGCCTCTATCCCCTTTTTGTGTGGGATAATGCTATAAAGGGAACTCACATCGTCAGTAACCAATATATAATTTTCTTCCCATTTTATATCACCAAGAATTTGTAAAATATACATTGTGTCCTTTAAATACGATGGATTTTTTATTACTATTGGTTGGAGTAGTACGTCAATGTATTCAGAGATTCTTGATGAGATACTTTCTACTCCGCAAATTATTGGTCTTCCAGGGGGGTTCGTTAAATGTTTGTGCATTTTAGGCAGGCAGTAAAAGACTGGGATTTGGGGATTTAAAATATTTAAATATTTAGCCTCTGTTTCTGTTAAAATGTTTGTATCCAATCCCTCATTAATATATGCTTCGAATTTATCTCTAATTTCTCGACTAGGGCTAGATTTAAATTTTTTATGTTATAGATATGCTCACCTATCCTAATCTTAAGTGGGCTAGCTAATCCAGCTAATAATATTTTTTTTTTTTATATTTATTTTTTATTGAAGGTTTTTCAAAAGTAAAGATCCAGTACATAGTTGTTTCATAGAGTATACAAACGAGAAGTCAGTGGGTTACGGGATAATACAATCGTACTCTAAAGTTGCGCAGTAATATCATCCGCTTCTGTGTACTATTGAACATTTCGACGTAGCTGGTTTACAGTGTTCCCTTCATTTAGGTTGATGTTACAATTCAGATAAACTCAACAAAGGTATATACACAAACAAACATGCAGGCAAATCACAGTAATTTGGATCTAGCATTTTCTGCGTACTTTGGTCATGTCAGCTCACATAAATCACTGTCCATGATCCTATGGGCTGCTCCTGACTCCTCTGGGAACTAATAATAATTTTTTAACTAAATTTTCAGACTTTTTTGGATGTGGCAGATGTAGGGCCTGTCAATTAACCCATTCAGGAAAGCAACATATTGTAGAATTTAGAAGTAATGAGAAGATCCATTTGATTAAAGACTGCATTACATGCAATACAAAAAATGTGTTATATATGCTCACCTGTCCTTGTGGCCTAAACTACGTAGGAAGAACTACTAGACCACTGAAGATTAGGATAGGTGAGCATATTTATAACATAAATAAGAAGTTTGAAAAGCATCAGGTCTCCCTACATTTTAGAGACAACCATAACAGTGATCCCTCTCAGTTACGCTTTAAAGGCATTCAAAAAATACACCATGACTGGAGAGGGGGCGACTTTAATCAAAAAATGGGAAGGGCGGAGATGAAAATGATATATGAATTTGACACTTTGATTCCAAATGGCATGAATAAAGACTTTGAGTTTTGCCATTTTTTATAATTTTTCTACATATATATGTATGCGTTTTTTTGTCCATGTATACATATATATATATATATTTATTTATTTATTTTTTTCTCATATATTTTATATGCATATTCTACATCTTGCATTACTGGAATCTAACATCTCGTGATCATTTGTACCATATATCCATTACATCTCCGTTGCTCCTATTTAATTTTGAGATATATATATACAGTTGCAATTTATTTGTTTTTCCTATTCTGTATATGTTGTATTGACAAACGGTTTCTATGCCACAATCTATGACTGTATACTATATATTTTAAAAGATGTTAACTCAGTCTGGTGCTACATATTTTCAGTGTCTTCTATTATATATTTTTAACATCTACTCTTCTTTTTCTCCCCTTCAACAACGAAATGCTATTGTACTATCTTGTATTTTTATTTGTGAGTTAAACATCTGTATTTCCTGCGTATTTTTGATTTTTATTGATTTTTTATAGTTTTTTTACTGATTAGACATACATATTGCCAAAGCTGTTTGTATTATACATCATTGTATGGTTATTTTTTTATTTTATTGTTTTAAACCACCAATACATCACTGCATTTAGACGAAAAGTTGATTCCTTGTTTATTTTTAAGCGGCTGGACTATGTATTTGTAATTAGTGTAAACACTTGAGGGCGGAACTATTATTGCCCATTTATGTTCCCCCACTGCTAGTCGAGACTATATCACTTACGTACTGAAGAAGCTGGAAGGCGAAACGCGTCCACGTAAGCACGCACTGATGTCACTAATGTGGGAAGACTGATTCTTGCAGACTGATGCAATCGTCTGGACATTTGACATACAGCGTTTGTGAATAGCGGAGCCTCTCTGCCCGCATAAATCTCACCAGCTTACACACTGTAAGCAGTATCTAACCATTGTTTATGCATTTTACCGCATTGTTATCAAAATTGTTTACTTTTATCCATATTTTGATATACTGCACGATTATTATATATTTTTTAAATAATTTTTCTTTTCCACATAAGGTCTATAGGCAGTTTCTCCGCCATTTTTGCACTCCACTTATTTTACACTTTTGACACCTGTAAAATGATCATGCTGTCTAATCAGCATCTTGATATGCCACACCTATGAGGTGTATGGATTATCTCGACAAAGGAGAAGTGCTCACTAACACAGATTTTGACAGATTTGTGAACAATATTTGAGAGAAATAGGCCTTTTGTATACATAGAAAAAGTCTTAGATCTTTGAGTTCAGCTCATGAAAAATGGGGGCAAAAACAAAAGTGTTTCGTTTATAATTTTTTTCAGTGTATATCTGTGTAAGAATGTATGTATGTGTCAGTGTATGTGCATACCTCCCAGCAAACAAACACCAACACAAAATGCAAACACACCCCTACAAACACAAACATTACATACAAAACACCCCTGAATTCAAACTCCAAAATTATATACAAACACTCAAACACAACCTTTAGTCAAATACAAATACTACACACACAGGGCCGTCTTTAATAATGATTGGGCCCGGGGCAAGCATTTGATAGGGCCCCCTGACCCTAACTCCCTGGCATGCAATCACGATCTCCACTTCCCAACGGAACCATTTTCCCATGCTTGCAGGGTTGTATTTAGCACTGAGTTGTGTTTGTGTGTTTGAATGGAAGCATGTTTTTGTATGGAGTGTGTTTGTGTAAATGTAGGGGTGTGTTTGTAGGTGGTGTTGGTGTTTGAATGCAAGCATGCATCTGTGTATTTTTTTTTAATGCTGGGTGTGTTTATATATATTTTTGGTGTTTAACACAAAGATGTATTTGTATGTATTGTTGACGTTTCAATGCAGGACTGTGTTTGTATGTAGTGTTGAAGGTTGAATGCAGGGGTGTACTTGTGTGTAGTGTTGGCGATTTGAATCATGAGATGTACGTACATGTACACATACACTGCCACACACACACACTGTGATACACAAATACACACTGAAACACATGCAGATACATAGATATAAACACTGACACTCACACTAACACACAAGCAGATACAGACTGACACAGATACACACACTAACACATACAGACACACAGATACACAACCTGACACACATACGGAGACAAATATACAAACACTGACACATATGAATACTCAGACACACTGATACATATACTGACACACATGCAGATACACAGATAAAAACACTGACTACATACAGATGCACACACACAGATATACAAACGCAGGTACACACACTGACAACGTACAGATACACAAATACATACAATGATAACTTACAGATGCACACACTGACACACATACAGACACGCATATACAAAACCTGAGACACATGCAAAGACACACAGACCACATAGAGAAATAGATATACTAAATACAGATACACAGATATACATACTGACAGACATAATGACACACTGACATAGTGACACACACTGACAGACATACTGATAGACACACAGACGCACACAGACACCCTGACAGACATACTCACACACACATACTTAGATACACACAGACATACTAAGACACACACAAATACTGACACACACATGCAACGTTTACATTTTTACACATTGACAGGCATACTGACACAGTGACAGACAAACTGACATGTACACTCACAGACAAACTGAAACGCACAGACAGACATACTGACACGCAAAGACAGACATACTGACACACACAGACAAAATGACATGCACAGACAGACATACTGACACACACAGACATACTAAGACACACATACTCACACACACAGATTTACTGACACACACAGACACCCTGACACACAAATACCCTGACAGACAAACTCACACACATACACACATACTAAGACACACACAGAAACCCTGACATACATACTCACACACATACTAAGACACACACAGACATACTGACTCACACAAATACTGACACACACACATGCAAAGTTTACATTTATAAAGCCACCCTCCAGCCCTACCTTATGGATTCCCTGGGGTCCAGCTGCAGGCTGAGGTCGTTGGGAGTGTGAGGTTCCTGCACTCCAGCTCCCTCCTGACGGCCTCCTGCTCCATCCCGCGCGGCTTCATTCTATCTGGGAGGAAGTGACTCACGGCAGTCACTTCCTCCCAACCTGCTGCAGTAAAACAAGGGGGCCAAAGTGACGACCGGGGCCTCTTAGCATGGGGGCTCCCGGTGCAGCCGCAGCACCGGCGAGCCCAGGGGGTAGCGGACAGCGGGGCCCACGGGGTAGCTGCTTTGGGCCCCACAGGAGCAAGTGGGCCCGGGGCAGCTGCCCCGTTTGCCCCGCTTTAAAGACGGCCGTGTACACACAAACGTACATCTGCATTTAAAAGCCAAAACTACAGCCAAACACACCCCTACACCCAAATTCAAACATTACATACAAACACACCCCTGTATTAAAGTGCTAAAATGATGTACAAACAACAACTGTACACACAAAAGCATGCTATCTGTAGAAATTAGTGTGTATATATACCCCAAAAAACTAAATTGTGAAAAAAAGAAAATATTACACTCTGCTATTTAAAAGGGTTGTGTTACGGCTAAGTTACGGTTACGGTTAAGATTTTTTTTTGGGGGGGGGGGTTCCACGACAACCTACATCACCCAGTGATCTCCCCAGAACATGTAGCCAAGTATATTGCATCCAGAGTATGCAAGCCTTTTGTGAAGGCAAAGTGAAATAAATTGCGTGATGAATGCCAGTCCCAGATGACGTGTGTAAAATGATATCAGTTGATCCTAAGATCATTCAATTCCTGAGTAAGTGAGGATGGAAGTTTACTAAAGGCTTAGATTTTTCGTTGTGAAACTGTCAAGATAAAATCCTAGACATCTTTGGCCCAGCAGCCAAGATCTTTGAAGCAGTAAAGGATGATCTAGAATTATAGTGGCATAACTAGCCAATATCAAGAAGGAGATCAGGCAAACACTAGCAACCTCTCAACTCTCTCTTAAACAACTGTCGAGAATGATAGGCCTTCTAGCATCATCAATACAGGCCATATTTACAGGTCCCCTTCCCTATTGAACCCTACAAGGGCAGTGCATCATACACATTCTGGACTCAGAAGGGAAGGAGGAACTCCAATGGTGGTTTCTTTACATGGAAGTTTGGAATGAACGCACCATATTCTATACAGCTCCAGATTTGCTAATCGAATCCAACGCAAGTTTGCATGGTTGGGGCGCTCGATGCGGAAATATTTCTACCAGGGGAAGATGATCAGATCTGGTGGTCCCCTATGGGAGTGTCCACCAGATGGGAGACCTGCATAAATACCGGGCAGATAGCCCTCAGTAAAACAGATTCCTGCTGACCCTCAATACGGAGCTTTGTCTCGTCATTGGTGGGATTATTCGTATGGATTATGCTTGTTCGACTATTTTGGAGACCAACGGGTTCGTGTGATTGCTGTTCGGCAGTTTGGAGCGCTCAGTAGCTACATCTGCATTCGGTAAGGGAACGTCCTATACAGCATTAACTCCTCTCCTACCGGGGGAGCCGTAACAACACAGTTTTCATTTTTAAACAATTTGTTTCAATATATGAATCTGTAACAATAAAGCTAGCATAGAGCAATATTGTAGTGACACAGAATTTTAAAGTGATTATGGTGGTACAGATCACAATGGTTTCACTCACATGGGACAGAGCCTCCTGGGATAGACTCAAGTCACTTGGGTGTATGTGTACTCTGGTGACACCAAACCCTTGATTCTTCTGGTTCACAAGTACCTCATAGGTAAAGGAGAGAAGAGGGCAACCGATTGAAACACTCTACATTAATTGGTGTATAAGTGGAGCACTTTAGATTTTAGACTTACCCCTATGGGTTAACACATGTGAAAGATCTCTCTGTTTTGAACTTACAGAGACTTATCGTTTATTCGCTGGTTTAATTCATGTTTTCCCGTTCATGTGGACTCTATACCATTCTCCTTTTTTACTACCGAATAAAACTCCCGAATGGCCAGCCACCCAGTAGAGAAGTGTGCTGCTGGTTAACCTCTTGGCCCCATTTGAACGTTGAGGTTAATTGCAGACACCTTTTAATTGATGCCTGTAGCTGGGTGAACGCTCAGCGGTGTTCGACGGTAAACCCATGGAACTCAAAACGGACACTTTTTGGCCTGAACACCGCTGAAGCCGCCGACCTTCCTTCTCCTTCGGTAGAGAACTCCCGAAAATCCCTGTATTCGGTATTTTGTCTGCGAATAAGCCATACCCCAGATAGCCATCCCGTGGAGTCTATTCGTATGAAGAACAGACTGTGTGAACACTTTTGACTCCATGGCGATTGGACTGTGTGCATAGGATCTGAGCGCTATTCGGTACTTTTGTGCGCTCCGATCCCAGCTATCTGGGGACACGTTGAATGCCTGTATTATGTCCAGTTATTGTAAATTTATATATTTTTATGCATTTTGTTCTAGTAATTTAAAATGGAGTTTGGTCTCTGTCCAGGAAGATAATTGAATTACTTCACAATTATCTCCCGGGCAGAGCAGAGGGTCTTGGGTAATTAAATGGGCATGGCTACATGTGTAACACTGTGATTGGTTGTTGTAATGTCCTTGTCACAGTCTCCCATCTGGTCCCCTATGGGAGTGTCCACCAGATGGGAGACCTGCATAAATACCGGGCAGATAGCCCTCAGTAAAACAGATTCCTGCTGACCCTCAATACGGAGCTTTGTCTCGTCATTGGGGGGATTATTCGTATGGATTATGCTTGTTCAACTATTTTGGAGACCAACGGGTTCGTGTGATTGCTGTTCGGCAGTTTGGAGCGCTCAGTAGCTACCTCTGCATTCGGTAAGGGAACGTCCTATACAGCATTAACTCCTCTCCTACCGGGGGAGCCGTAACAACACAGTTTTTGTTTTTAAACAATTTGTTTCAATATATGAATCTGTAACAATAAAGCTAGCATAGTGCAATATTGTAGTGACACAGAATTTTAAAGTGATTATGGTGGTACGGATCACAATGGTTTCACTCACATGGGACAGAGCCTCCTGGGATAGACTCAAGTCACTTGGGTGTATGTGTACTCTGGTGACACCAAACCCTTGATTCTTCTGGTTCACAAGTACCTCATAGGTAAAGGAGAGAAGAGGGCAACCGATTGAAAAAGTTGAGAGGACACAGCAAAACGTGTTTCGGGAGGAAGACTTATTGTTTGCAATATCTTTTAGAAAATTTTATTTGCATGCTGATTTTTTATTTACTTGTTCAATAAATTTCTTTTATACAAGATACAAGTTGACCACCTTCCACTTTACTTCTAAAGAAGGGTAGTTGCCCCCTTAAAGGCACACATATCTATATACCAGGAGCCAGTTACAGGCTCCTAAAGAGGTGAGAGGCCAATTTTTTTCTTTGCACATTTCTGCTGTATGTGGGAGTAATTACACTGGCAGCTGCATTGCGTCCCCTTTTTCCCTGCCCTCTTCTCTCCTCTGGGGAAATTGTGACCCTTAAAAAAAATGTGAAAGAGAAAATAACGCCAAGAGGTCTAAGATTTTCAAAAGACTCACCTTTTGATCGCGAGGATCAAAACTTTATAGAAGGATGGAACAAATTATTAGATGGGTTCTCATTCAGCCTAATGGCATAAATAGTGGCGAGACGGGAAGAAAAACTCCTTAAAATAGATGAGGACATAAAAAAATTTAGGGAAGGTTTAAGCAACACAACCAACCCAGAAATATTCAGCAAAGTATTAACAGAAATAAAAAGAAAAGTAGATAAAACAGAAAGAGATGTAATAGAAACTAAGAAACGAAAATATTTGAGAGACTTAGACGATTACAAAACAGGCAATGTGAGGAATAAACTCCAAGAATCACGGGAATGAGACTCACCGGGCAAACGAAGGAGATCATGTGAAGAAGGAGAAGTAGAAGAAGAAAGAAGTTACAACAAGGAGAAACGAGGATGGATATAGATAGCAAGGGTATCTTCAATCTTTCAGATAAGATGTTGGACAAAGAGGAGCTTGGAATCCTAAAAAGAGGATTGAAATTCGCACCAACTTCAGATTTCAAACCATTTGAATTCTTCATTGACCTCAATCGTTTCACTAGACAATTATGTCTGAAAAAGTTCTTTCACAGCAAGAATTCCATGCAAATAGATACCATTTCCCCATATATACATAGCAACCTCAAAGAAAAATCGAAATTCTTTCCCAAAAACATGATCTCGAGTGAAATCCAAACATTCGAAACCATGGTAATGAAAGAGGTTAGTAAAATAAAGAATACAAATAAGTATCAAAAAAATCTCTCACAAACAGAGATGAAGGCTTTAAGGAACCTACAGAAGAATGAAGATCTAATAATAAAACCTGCGGACAAAGAAGGAGGAGTTGTAGTTTTGTCTAAGGAAAAATATGTAGGTGAAGCCGAAAGACTCCTCTCAGACGTGAAAACATACAAAAAAATTAAAATCTAACCCTAGTCAAGAAATTAGAGATAAATTCGAAGCATATATTAATGAGGGATTGGATAAAAACATTTTAACAGAAACAGAGGCTAAATATTTAAATATTTTAAATCCCCAAATCCCAGTCTTTTACTGCCTGCCTAAAATGCACAAACATTTAACGAACCCCCCTGGAAGACCAATAATTTCCGGAGTAGAAATTATCTCATCAAGAATCTCTGAATACATTGACGTACTACTCCAACCAATAGTAATAAAAAATCCATCGTATTTAAAGGACACAATGCATATTTTACAAATTCTTGGTGATATAAAATGGGAAGAAAATTATATATTGGTTACTTGTGATGTGAGTTCCCTTTATAGCATTATCCCACACAAAAAGGGGATAGAGCCAGTACAATATTTTTTAGAGAAATCAAATTTTAAACAGGAACAGATAGATTTTTATCAAAAAAGGTATATTTTTAATCCTCACTAACAATTTATTTTGGTTTAAGGACAGTTTTTACATGCAAATCAATGGAACGACGATGGGGACCAGGTTCACACACGGTTACCAGTTACCAGTTATTTATTTATGGCGTACTGGGAAGAAAGGTTTATCCTTCACAATCATTCATATGCGGACTTGGTCACCTACCGCTGTTTCATTGATGATATATTTTTTATTTGCAAAGGAGATGAATTTAGCCTTACTGATTTTCTAAGTTTTCTTAATTGCAGCGATTGGGGGATAAGCCTCACATTCACCCAGAGTAAAAAAGAAATACATTTTTTAGATTTAACTATTTTTATAGAGAATGGCGAAATTCATACCAAAAATTATTTTAAAGAAGTAGATTGTAACGGATACATATATCTTGCAAGTTTCCATAATACCCAGTGGCTCACAAATGCACCCAAAAGCCAGTTTATGAGGCTAAAAAGGAACTGCACACAAGAAAACGACTTCATAAGACAAACTCAGATAATTAAAGAACAGTTCTTGGAGAAAGGCTATAAAGAAGAAGATCTTCAAAAAAGCATAGAAGAAATTAAAGGGATGGGAAGAAAAGAATTACTCAGGTACAGGAAAAAAATGAAGTAAAGAAGACAACAGAATTAATGTCCCATTTATCTGTAATTTCTCTGCTAAAAACAAAAAAGTGAGATATGCCATTAACAAATATTGGCACTTGTTACAAGACGACCCAGTCCTAAAAAACATATTACCACCAAAACCTAAAATCCTACATAGGGGGTGTAAGAACATTAAAAACATTCTAGTAAATAGTAACTATAAAAATCCTTCAAATGGAAATAATAATTTTCTTTCTAGCAACAAAGGCTTTTATGGGTGTGGAGCATGCTTAGCATGTAGGGAAACAAATAGTAAAAAAATAAACATAAAGAATACTAACAAAATTACAAAGAAAGATTTCCTAATAAGAGATCAACTCACGTGTTTCACTAAAAATATTATTTATTTGTTAAAATGCCCGTGTAGCATGCTATACATAGGGAGAACAATCAGATGCCTGCATATTAGAATCTCCGAACAAGTTAGAAATATCAAAAGAGGCATAGAAACACATTGTGTCTCCCACCATTTTAAACACTTCCACAATCAAAACCCACAAGATGTGCACTAAAATTGGTCAAAAAAAATTGGAGGGGTGGAGATTTTACAAACAAAATTGGAATTGAAGAGATGACATTTATCTTCAATTTTAATACCTTAGCCTCTCACGGATTAAATTTAGATTTTGAATTATGCCATTTTTTTATCTTAACGCCACATTTTAAAAAATAATTTCATAGTAAGTGTAGTTTTTATTGGTATACATATTTCAATTTATAACATTCTTTTAGCATCTGTTTTTGTTCAATAATATATCTTTATTTAAGTATTTTAGTATACATTTTTTTTAAGAAGTCAATATACCTTTCGTTCCCTCCACTTTTTATAAGGTAAATTCCACAATTGCACTTAACTAAAGAATAAGAGACTAGTATAATTATTTAAGAAAAGCACTTATACCACTTTAAATAACTTTTAGTATTTGAATTATAAATATTTGATATTTGATATTATGAGCCTGTTACTTTATTTCAATCTGTGTGTAAAGTCTCTCATTAAAGAATATTTTTCTGATCATATCTATTTCCTCATTTCGAATGAGTGATCAACAAGCAGATTTTGCAAAGGACTTGGCATTCAGTATTTCATATCATGACGATCTACGGAGGTGGAACGCAAACAATGCGTTCCACAAGAGAAAGGAAACCACAGCCGAACCACATGACTGATGGACGAACGGAACATGCATTCCAATTGACTGTATGTGCGTCCCACAGAGACTACGTCCGGGTTCGCAGATGCTGACAATCTTGTAATCAAGGCAGAATAAGAGAGAGGAAGGACGCTGCACAGACCACACACCAACTGAGGAAGCCAGCAAATGGCGAAACACGTTTGGACTTTATTTAAAACTTTTAATGCTAATTTGATCAATTGATCATTTTATTTTTGATTTTTGTTCTTCTCAATAAATGTATTAATCTTCACTATTGGAGTCTTCCTGTCCATTCCCATACACCCAATTGGATGTGGAGGAGACCAGAAGGAGATAAAAGAGGGCGGTGGATCTCTCCTGAAAGATCCCAAGGTGCTACACACTAGAGCAAGGTGACCATTTGGCTCTTCGCTTGTGAGTTGTGAATTATCATACTATTCTATTCATTTATTGTTGTATATACCATCTGCACTATGAAAAATATCACCACCAGTAGATTCATCTGTCTAGGTATTTCAAAGCTCCACTTATACCCTTCTTTTTTATAATATATCTCATTGTGAGCGTTAAGGGGATGCTTCACCGAAGTGTTAAGCTTACCTTATTCTATTGTATATGTGTGCACATCTTTGAATATTCGCAGTGTATACTCGGGTGTATGTGGGATGGCATATAGGTGTGAGAGTTTTGGGTGTAGAAGCTGAATTGTGCCATTCTATGTTTTGGTGGGATAATGAATGTGGTAGAGACAAGCATGCTCATAAGTGTGGAACCGTTACTGCATTTGCTAATCCAGGGAAATAAATAATGCCCTATTTTAAATGTTACAATAAATGCTGGTATGAGCTGATGCGTAAGGAGAAATATTGGTAAATGATATGTAAAGTGTATCAACGTGTTTTGCTTTCAGGTATTACTATGTGGTCATGTTATTGTGTGTCAGGGTACAGTGGCGTACTAAGGGGGGGCCGAGGGGGGCGGTCCGCCCCGGGTGCCACCAGGATGGGGGGTGCCATGGCCAGCCCCGCAGCCCCCCCCCCCATGCTGCAGCCGCCCGAGCGCTCTGTAAAGAGCCTCGGGCGGCTGCAGCATTGCCCGGGCGGTGCGTCCATGAGGGCGGACCGCACCGCCCGGGCGCAGCCTGAGGAGAGGGGCTGACACTCCTGTCAGCTCCCTCACTGCAGCATGGTCCGCGGGTACAGAGAGCAGCTGTCTCCTGTACCCGGCCGGACTAACAGGAAGGGAACACTGAGTGTGCACTTCCTGTTAGTCCGCCGGGTACAGGAAACAAAAGCTCCCTGTACCCGCGGACTATACAGGGCTCGGCCACGCTACAGGGAGGTAGGGGGGAGGGGGAGAAAGAAGGGGGGTGAGAGAGAGAAATG